ATGGACACATTTCAACAGGGCTAGACCAGGATTTGAACCCTGGACCTCCGATTGTTATACCATCGCTCTGACTGATTTAGCTCCCAGTGGTGTCATCGGAAGTGGTGTGGCTCAACTGTGCTACAGTAACATCCAGACAAAAAGTAAAGGGAGGTTACTGTGTATATATATATATATAAAAACACCACAGTGCAGCGGGACAGGGATCCTGGAACTGGAAGTGACAGTCGTCTGTTGCTTCTATTTAGTGTTTTAGAATGTAGATATTTTTACAATTTTATACCTGGAGATAGAAACATATCTTTGCCTGGATCCAAACTTTTTTGAAGATGCATCTCTTTTTGTTTTCTTTTTCATTTAATCTTGCTTTTTCCATCGAAACAAGCTTTAATAGAGAAATAAACAGAAAATTTCTACTTTAGTTTATCTGCAATTTTCCGTTGTTGCCAATCATTAGATATGTTGGCAAAAAAACTTTTTTTTATATATATCTTATGGTAGTTTTTCATTTTTATCCTCAATGAAGAAGAGTTCCAATTTGTCAGATATTTGACTTAAGAGTTGCTTTCTCATTTATTATAGCTACACATTTATACAAAATAAAAATCTTTATTATAATAATAATATACAACATTTGAAGCCACTCTAAAGTGCTTAACCCTTTCACCCCTATGTAACTTTAGTAGCATTTACCATGCATTGATCTGGATGAGTCCATTATGGTCTACAGTGGTGAAAGGGTTAACAGTACAAATAGATACATAATATATACAATCAATACAATTGATAAAATTGCCTTATTCACAAAAGCATCTCCATCAAGGGGATTGTATTCCTTGCCCTCCTGATAATAAAGTGTAGAGCAATCTTAATTCATTCCTGCAAAATATTACTGAATATAATTTCAAAATGCTTGAACTCTTTAAAAAAACGGGGGCTACAACCTATAACTGTGAAAAGTTTCAGAAAAGTGGTTTAATTCTCTTCTTTAAGTATTCAGAGGGACATTCAAATGTTCAATATTTCAATAATAGCGATAACATATTCCATACAATTTCATTATTTTTAATGGAAGAAACCTGTTTACAGTTTGTCTAGAATTTAATCATCTCGTTATGATAAGTTGCTGGTGACAAAATGATTTACATGAATGTTTGCTGCATCTTGAATTGCATAAAGAATGCTGTCCAAAGTGTATGTAGGTCAAAGTTCACCCAGAAATGCTTATGTAGGTCATGCTACCCGAAAAGTAGGTCATGCATGTTAGATGTACTTTAGAGTCATCTTGTGAAGAATTGTGCAGACTGTTCTAGTATTTATAATGCATGTGTTAACTGTAAAATTGTTGAAGGGGAAAGGGTTGTTTTTAAAAATGGGAGGTAATATGTGTTTATTCATGATTTATTCCTAATTGGGCCCTGTTTAAATTCAAACATAGTTCATTTCTAGATATGAACTTCATTTGTTAAAGCTGTTTAAGAATTGTGTTGGCTTATCCATGAACATGGGCTTATTATAGGACAAATAACAATATTGCTATTTAAGTCGGTGAGACTGAAAAAATAGAAATAAGGAGAAAGATGATTACAATAATAATACAAGACTACAGTTTTTGGTGAAATATATACTTAAGTAAGAGTTGAAATTAAATCCAGCTAATTTGCATTTTTGAAAACAAGTATTTANGCTTATGCCGTGGTGCGGCGTCCGTCGTCCGTCTGTCGTCCGTCCGTCCGTNTAATTTACTATATGTTATTACTAAGCTTTTGAGCTAATAGCGTTAATATTTGAAGTTCATCACTAGTGACCACCGTCAAGGTTCGTACATACATACCTGACCAAGGCCTCAAAGCCTTGGCAGGTTTAATGGCATATGAGAATGCCTCAGACTTCTGCTTTTGACAACCAGAAGTTTACAAGCCAAATCAGTGGAGCGGGTCGGGAAGACCCTCTCTCTAAAACTTTGACCCCATATAAATCTGACATCACATATTCAAATCTACTGAAACTATATATTTTTCCAAAGTTAAATATCTGTAGATTTGATTCAGTAAAAAAACAATTACATATTTAAAATTACTCAGAACCATGATTGTATTCAACCAGAACAAATTTTAGGTAGGGATTACAATCATGTGAAACACTTGCTGATTGGCTGATTTAGTTGTGCGAGTCCTTAAACAGTAAATATCAAAATATACGATATAGAATTATGTTTTGTGAGCTTCTTATGGAAATACTTTATTACTCATCACTCTTTTTGGAAGTAAATTATATTAAACTAATAGAAATTATTCTCCATTGATGAACAGATATCTAGGATAAAAATTGTTTGTAAATAAATGAGTTTGAACTGTTCGGCGGCAATATATAGAAAGCAAAAAGTACTTGTAAATTGCTACAAAGAAAGTAACAGTTCAGTTATAAATTTCCTGAGGAATCGCTCAACGACTTACGGATGGAAAGCCTGTGACTTACTCTCTATATATAAAGTTTTTAATACTGGTACATAATTGGGATTTTGACTTTTATCGTCTTGGAAGAGATCGTGGCAGATATACGCATTATGATATGATAAATGTATTGGGTTTATTGATAATATTGTACAATTGGTTGGTAAGCATCAAGTCTCTCTGTCTATACCGTATATAAAGTCATGAATGTCGCATATACTATTTGTAGTCTTGTATTATCTGTTGCCGTGGTGATTAAGGGTTCTTTTCTTCTGCAACACAGATACCAATAAGTCTATAATTTATGTATGTTGTCACCTCGGGAAATTTTCTATTTTCACTTGCTTCCTGGAACGTGCTATTTCAAAACAATCTAAATTGATGGGAAATATGGATTTATATTAACTCATTCACCCCTGAAATTTCATAATGGACTATTCCAACCTTTGAATTGGAACAGTTCAAATGTGTCTTCAGGAGTGAATGAGTTAATTATACTGATACTGTTGGGTGTAGGAACTCGTTTATATATAAATACATTTGTATGTATCCAGTCATCTGTTTGATAACTGAACTACTCGATAGCGAAGCGGACGTAAAACCACTAAAACAGAACAACTATATATTCTATATATACTCTACCTAAGAAACCAATATAGAAATGTTTCCTTGGTGCAATGTTCAAAATGGCTTCACCAGGGAAACATTATGACAAAGGATATATCTTTAATTTTGTTTGTTAATTATATAAAGGAAAGTTGGTTAAGCACGAAGACCTATCATAACGAGTAACAATGAGTAACGTTAACTAGTAACATTAATGTGTAACAAGTTTAAATATTCACACTACCTGGTATATTTATTGCCTCATCAATGGAATATTGCACATAATCATGAGATCAAAGTGTTAGTTCTACTTTCTATGACAAATCTATGTAATTCTATAAAAATCAATGAGGTCAGAGTTCATGTTAAGGTCACGACCTGTGCAATAACCAATACAAATATTCTAAATTTGTGTTATCCACGTAATTACAACACACTGCTGCCTTCTCCATTGCCTTAAGAGCTAGAAAGAACTTAACCTGTATTAGTTTAAGGAAGATTTGTAGGTCATTCAGGTTTTAAAATTGACACCATGTATATTTATAGAAGCACTACTACACAGACAGCACAGAAAATTAAGCTAGGAAGTATCTATTGCTAGAAACCATCAGACTTGTCATTGTCAATGATAGCTGAGGTAATCGTAGCTTTCAGGCCCGACCGTTGTTTTTTTTTTAATTATTATTATTATTATCGGACCGATTTTTTTTTATTATCAGACATAAACTATGGTCTGATAATTGTTTTTATTTTCTAAAAAAACGAACTGGCCTAGAAGCTAAAAAATATAAAAAGAATAAAACAGTCAGGCCTAGAAGTTACGATTCCCATACAGTCATGTCAATGTAGGCAGGATAGGATAAAGCTATGTAAATAGAAGAAAAAAGGAAACATAACAAAATTAGCTTTATTTATGATGATTTGTGGCTCCAGGAAATATTTCTAAAATATTAAATCCAATTGAAAAAAAGAAAATCTGGTCTAAAATATGAACATGAATTTGAAGGCTTTTGATAAAGACAAACGTTCTGTTTTGAATTATTTTTAATATTTTGAAGATTTATGAATTGGAATAACTTCAAGAGAAGTTTCCGCTAATTTTTGGTAGTTTTTATGCATACCCTAATTAGTTACATGCGTTTCTGGAAATAATCTCATTTCATTGTGATACTTTTCAAAATCAAATCTGGATGGGCTGTAAGCTAACTTTGTGGTGTAAGACGAGACTACTTCCAAATTGAAGGGTTCACAGGTTTTATCTTGTGAATAAAAATTATTTTATACATTGTTTTAGATAATGCCAAAAATTAGAGGGAACGAATCTTCAACTCATTCACCCCTGAAATTCATAATGAATTATTCCAACCTTGAATTGGAAGAGTTCAAATGTGTCTTCAGGGGTGAATGAGTTTTTTTTAGAAAATAAGTATTTATTTAGAGTATTTATTCTCGGGTTTTATATTGCCTGAATGTGTACAAAAATTATGTCATGTTTTAAATAGTGGAATACTACCAAATATGAGTAGGAAGCAACCTTAAAAAATAGGTTATTTAGAGGGCGCCAAGAAAAATAATTTTCTTCTGATATTCATAGGGCAATATATGTGTTTTCCATGGAATTGGTATGAAATTAATTGTGGGAGACAGATTATAGGTGAAAAAAATAGGTGCTGAAGGTATATATCATATATATAAATAGACCGTGTTGTTCAAGGAAAAAGTTGTACAATATATCTCAGAAGTTGTCGCAGCGTTTATCAAAAACTTTTTAATCATTTAACACAGACATTGGGGTACCTAATCACAATCAGTTAATCTGATTTAATTGTGCCTGCTTTTTGAGAGGTCTGTTTTAAACAGTTATGTAAATAATATAGAAAACTTTGTCAGTAATATTACAGATTGACACAAGATTTATTTTTGATTGTTTTTCTCACACAGATTTGTCATCAAGGATAAGAATTCGTTCTTTACAAACGCTCAGAGGAGTAGGATGGTACACGAAATTCTAGTTCGTACAGTGTTTGACAGAGAAGATAATGATAAGGGAAAACACAGGTTTGGTAGGTTTTTATTACGATTTTCTTGTTAAAAATCTTACTTTTATCCCCATGAAAATTGTGACTTTACATATATGTATGTTCCATTACAAAGCAAATAGTTCTAACTAATTTCTTAAAAATAATCAAGATGTACCATATGGTACCTAGCTTAAGTGTACAGTACATATTATCTACAGACAATATGTCAACTGGTACACCAGTATCATATTTAATGTAAGAAGGGTGCCTACTCTAAACAAGGGCACCCCAAGTAAGTTTGCCAAGTTAATCTCCCAGGCCTATCATTTAAGTAAGGATTTTTTTCCATTTTGGAATTTAAACTTACTGAAAAATTGTCTGGATAAGATTTTGATAGTTAGACAATTTCTTCTGCCAAAAACATGCCTCCACAAGACTTTCATATCTGCTGTGGTGGTAAGAAGAAGTCAGAAAACAATGTCTGTTGGACAAATGATTCTTCGTTGATCCTTAAACATTTTGGGCCCCTCCCTTCCCCCACAAAAAAAAGATATAAAAAAATAATAAAAAATATGAATTATGTGTTCATGTGACGAAAAAAACCCACAGTGGAGTTCTGCAGTGTTTTGCCTGCAGTGATCAAAAGATCCTTAAAAAATGTTTTTTGAAATATTATGAATAAATATAATAAAGAGATAGAAAACAATTGTTCAAGTTACTTACATTGTATAATTTCTCTAAGAATGTGTTTACTATGCATGTATGATAAAATATTTCCTATTTGTACCCATTCAGGTATTACAAAGATGACCAGTTCAGGGATCTATGCCGCAGCATTTCCTCTTCATGATGTAAGTGGTCGACGTATTCCATACCTACTTGATAGCAGTTGTTGCCCTTTATACTTGTGGTGCATTTCTCTCTCGTGCATCAAAATCGTTTCTCTAAAATGTCGGACAGATTAATAATAACAAAGCTCATAGTTTTAAGGGTTTAAGGGGTATTAGTCAGTTGCGTAATTGAAGGGATAACCTTACTGTATTTTGAAATTTGCTGCAGTATGTCGCGATTATACTGTCGCAAATTGAGTTTTACTGGCAATGCAGAGCGGAGCCAGTAAAACAGATATTTGCGACAGTATAATCAGGATATATCGCCACCTATTTCAAAATAGACTAGGATTATCCCCATTCTAATTCATATAAGCAAAAACCACCAAAGGAAATGGCGATTTTAAGACATTTTGTTTTGAGTGTTTTCTTCAAATTCTGGGTCACTCTGCCGTGGATTGGTGATGTCAGGAATATTCAAAGTGTCGTCAAACTGTTGCAAATTATTTTATTGACCAATCGAATGTTGTGTTACATCTCAAATGAATTAGAATATATTAGAATTGTTGTAATGCTTTTCTCAATGAAGTTGTCGGGGATATAGAAATGGGGTCTGTCTTTCTGTCAGTCTGTTCCTGCGTATTATGAAAGCGCATCGTTCCATATCTTGACACGATCACTGGCCTTCTACCACTTGGTCACGGGGTTCGAGACTTATGTTGGGCAGTTGCCTGGTACTGCCCCCAGGTCAGTGTTTTTCTCCGGGTACATCTTTCCTCCAGCAACAAAGCCAGGTTCGTCCTTATATGACCATAGCTGTTATTTAAGGAATGATTTTTATTTTTTCAACATTTATGAGGTCATAACAACAATGGGTTTATGGACATATTGAATGAATCGCGTTAGCGATTCATGTAAAATATGTCCAAAAACCCATTGTTGTTATGACCTCATAAATGTTGAAAAAATAAATATCATTCCTTATATTTACATTGACGAATCCTTTCAGTGGATCGATATAACAACGAATAAAACAAATAAACAGGGTTTGTTCCTGCTTATACACGGGTGCAACGCAGTGGCGAGAACAGTGTTTTTTCGCGGGGAAATGTGACACTATCGTGAGAGATCTTAGCAACCGTCAACAACAATAACACAACAAAATGTAGTTCCATATTCAATGTTTATTTGTAGCACAGGACACGTGAATACGTGGATATTTCACAAAGCACAGTTCAATAATATTTTAAGATGTAAGAATTAAGCATCTAGGTCGGTCGTTCCGAGTGAGTAGTTTTTGTAGTGTATTACTACGCAGTGTGATCAGGTTACTATCAGTTCCCACGTGCTGAGATTCTATGAACACCTGTGTTATGCATTTATGAATGTAATTTTTGTCAATGGGTCTAAGCATACAGAATGTAAATATA